AGTGAAGTTGCCTAGAGGGAGGAAAATTCTAAAAAATAAGTGGGTTTTCAAATTGAAGAATGATGGCAAGAATCTGAGGTACAAAGCACGCCTTGTTGTGAAAGGCTTTGGGCAAAAGAAAGGTATTGACTTTGACGAGATTTTCTTACCGGTTGTAAAGATGTCTTCTATTCGGGTTGTACTTGGCATGGCTGCAAGTATGAACCTTGAAGTTGAGCAACTTGATGTGAAGACCGCATTTCTGCATGGTGATCTTGAAGAAGAAATTTACATGAAGCAACCGGAAGGTTTTGTGAAAAAAGGGAAAAAGAAATTTGTTTGCAAATTGAAGAAAAGTTTGTATGGCCTCAAGCAAGCCCCGCGGCAATGGTACAAAAAATTTGACTCTTTCATGATGAATAATGGTTTTTCTAAAACCACTTCGGACCATTGTGTGTTTGTGAAAAATTTCCCGGATGGTAAATTTATTATTCTTTTGCTTTATGTTGATGACATGTTAATTGTGGGTCAAGATTCTACCATGATAAACAGGTTGAAATTGGAGTTGAGCAAGTCTTTTGCTATGAAAGATTTGGGACCGGCAAAGCAAATTCTTGGTATGAAAATTGTTCGTGATTGCAAAGAGGGGCTAATTTGGTTATCTCAAGAAAGCTACATTGAGAAAGTTCTTGAGAGGTTCAACATGAACAAAGCAAAGCCGGTTGGTTGTCCACTTGCGGGTCACTTCAAGCTTAGTTCAAATCAATGTCCTACAAGTGAGAAAGACAAGGAAGAGATGCTGAAAGTTCCTTATGCTTCAGCAATTGGTTCTTTGATGTACGCCATGGTTTGTACAAGGCCGGATATTGCTCACGCCGTTGGTGTGGTGAGTTATTTTCTCTCTAATCCGGGTAAAGAACATTGGGCAGCGGTAAAATGGATTCTAAGGTATCTTCGAGGGACTTCGAAGGTATGTTTGTGTTTTGGGGATGGTAAGCCTGTCACGACCCAAACCCGGCCCTATGGGTTTAGTACCATAACCGGCCAGTAATCTGAGATTACCGAAGGCCTGCAGAACAGTAGAACAGTAAAACAGAGTACAGGGCCTGGCGGAAGCCAAAACAATAAATAAACAATGTCCAATGAGCTGTGACAGTCTGTATGCAAAAAGACTTTCATACATATATACATAATCAGTACAGAACAGTATGCACAAAATGTACAATCATTCAGACTAGGGACTCAATCCTTTACATCACAGTACAGTAAGCATTCGGTCTATACAAAACAGTAAGACAGTACAGAAGGGGGAATTGTAAAACACCCCTAAGCCTTAACATGATAGGCTCGGAACCTCGCAGTGAGGCACATAGGCTGGCTTGACAAAACTGGAGTAACCCTGACGCTCCTAGCCGCGGTTTGGTGCCTGAACACCTACATATATATATGAGCAGTGAGCTAAAACCCAGTGAATAACATAATGCGTAAAGAGGTTAAGAATGAATGTCCTTACAGTATGAAAACAGTTCATTTAAACAGTATAACAGTCATTCAGTCAGTACAGTCATATGTGGTATATCCATTAGCATACCAGTACAGTAAACAGTAGGTCTTAAAAGACCGAACAGTAGTGATGGCCATCAGTCAGTAAACAGTGGTGGTTCCAACAAGAGAACCGACAGAGATCTCTGTAACAGTAACAGTAAACAGTAGATGCTAAGGATGCCACAATACAGTTCAGAATATAGGATATACATTCATTCAATTAACAGTATCAGTTCAGAAAGCAGTACAGTTCAGTCGTTCAGAAAATAATCATTTGTGAACATATCTTTACACGATCGTTACTCACAGAGTTTGGGCTACAGTATGCTAGAGCGTGCCTCCCCAGTCGCCAACCCTACACAGTTAACAGATTGAACACACTAAGCTACACAGCTGGGAAAGATAGTAACTTAATCCCTAAATGCCTCGGTGTGTTCTACATCTATATCCTCAACAAGACGCCTTAAACTAGGCCTAAGAATGCCTAGAATGAGATGAGGATGCAAAGATGTACTCAAAAAAGCAGTTTCAGAAGTTTCAGAAAAACAGAGTCTCGCTCGAGCGCGGGTTTACCCGCTCGAGCGGACATGCAACAAGGTACACGCTCGAGCGTCAACTTTTCCGCTCGAGCATACTGTAAAAGTACTGGATGGGTGAAATCTTCGCTCGACGGACGCTCGACGCCCGCTCGATCGTGAGACACATGCCTCCGCTCGAGCGCCCAATCCTCCGCTCAAGCGGACTGTAAAACAGTGCAGAGAAAATACTGGATGCTCGGATTCCACGCTCGAGTGCCACTCTCCCCGCTCGAGCGGGAGTGCAAAATCTGGAAAAACCCAGATTGCACCACCAAGCTCAAACTCACATTCAAATGCATCAAAACCAATCCTCTTGGGCCCATTTTCTGGAAAACATTTGTACACACATGGAATAACATGGTTCAAAGCTCAATTTGAGAAATCAAAGCCCAAGGGTGTTTAATTCAAACTCAATTTCAAACCATTTTTCAAGAACAAGATGAACATGTAAACATGCATGAATTCAAATCATTTTGAAGCTTCAATTTGATGCTCTAAGGAGCCAATTGATCCAAAAACAAGATGAAAACATGGACCATTACAAAATTATGGACATGCATGTACCATTTTACCATGAAATCAACTCACAACTCAACAATTCAAACATGCATGCATGAATTATGCTCTATATCAACATGTATGAACTAAAACATGACTTAGCTCTACAATTTAACATGGACCATGCAAGAATTAGCTCAAACACAAGAATGAGAAGATGAAATCCTTACCTAAGTCTTGTATTCCAGGTTTGGGGAGCTCAAATATGCAATCTATACTTCAATTACCAAGCAATTCTTCAAGTTGACTAAGCCAATCCCTCAAGGACAACTCTATTCTCTCCCTCTCTCTCTCAAGGTCGGCAAGAACAAGAGGTATGGACTGATGAAATGTTTGTTTCAAATGTAATGAACTCAAAGGTATATAGGTAGTGGCCCACTCAAGGGCAAGGTTGTAAATAAGTCAAACTCTTTCGATTTAGCTCAATTTAATCTAGTTTAATCATACCTAATCAGTTTTCAGATGAATACACCATAAAATCACATTAATTATGAGGGTCGTGGAACATCAATCAATTCCGGATTCGGCCGCCGATAAGGCCTTCAATTAACAGTTTAAACACTAAAATATGAACAGATCAAATAATTAATCAAACAGATAGAATACAAATTAGCATACATACTTAGTCAATTCAGTTCCAGTTTTCAATCAGTCAGTTCAGTACTTTAATCAGTTCAATTATTAGTCATAATCAGTTCAGTTCAATGGTAATCAGTGTTCATTCGGTAAGCAGTGGTGAGGGTTCTTACAAAGCCGATACTTGATGGGTTCACAGATTCTGACATGACTGGTGATGTTGATTCTCGAAAATCTATTTCGGGGTATTTAATGACTTTTGCAGGGGGAGCTGTGACATGACAATCTAAATTACAAAAATGTGTTGCACTCTCAACTACCGAAGCTGAATTTATTGCCATTACAGAAGCTTGCAAAGAAGAGTTATGGTTGAAGAAATTTTTGCAAGAATTGGGTTTGAAGTAAGAAAAGTATGTGCTTTATTGTGATAGTCAAAGTGCTATTCACTTGAGTAAAAATTCTACTTTTCATTCGAGATCGAAACACATTGATGTGAGATACCATTGGATTCGTGATGTGTTAGATTTGAAGTTGTTACAATTCGAAAAGGTTCACACAGATGATAATATTTCGGATATGTTGACAAAGACTTTGTCGAGGGATAAACATTTAAAGTGTCGAACTTTGGCGGGTATGGTTGATCTCTCCACCTAAGTCGGTAGGGGGAGAATTGTTGGGTATACCTCCTTATTGGAGTGTGGGACCCAAATTGGTTTATTAAAAGAGTTTGATTTAGTTTGGTATTAGTTATAATATATTTTTATATATTATATCTAATTTTGTGGAGACCTAATCCAATTTAAAAACAATTAAACTTTGATAAAAAAAACTTTAAATTCACAATATTTTTAGGTGTATTGTTTATCCTATGAGATACTGTTTTCCACCAAAGAGAAAAGTATTGTAGCGGCTGCACTTTTTTTTGGTTTTTCAAAAGGGGAGCAACCATTGGTTCTCATTGATAGTTGGTGAGATTAGTGCTTCATGATTGATTCAGTGGGTTTGCTTGGGGATAGCAGTGGCTGTTTGATCTGGGTTGACTGTGCTTTGTTCGTGGCTATTTTTGTCTCTTGATTCGGTTGATTTGGGATAATTATTTTGGATCTTCTTCAACTCTGGTTCTGAAAATTTTGGTTCATCTATTTGGTGAGGTCTTTCCTCTTTGTTTATTTGTGATTATTTAGAATTTACCTAAGGGTGGTTTGTGAGACCATTAGTGTCTCGTTTGTAATCGTTTAGAACTTATTTAGTTGATAATAGAATCGAATTTCGATCCCGTTGACGTACCTCACATTGAGGGAACCACATAAAATTCTTGTGTTATCTTTAATTTATTTTTTTTGCATTAACTTTTTATTCCCATATTGATTTACTTGTGGGAATCATCGATTTTCCCTAACATGGTGTGGGTTTCTGCATGTGTTAAGCTCACATATTTAACACCAACAGGTGGGCTACCGTCCATGCTAAATCAACTTCAGATTGAGGTTTGCAGAAAATTAGAGTCACTTTTTGCTGAGGAAGGGATCAAAATGGATGGTCTATCTCTTGAATCTATTCGTATCCAATATTGTGAGAGGCTCAAATCTTTACCCAATGCCAATAATCTCAGAAATCTCGGTCATTAGAGATAAGATCATGTTATAATCTGGAGTCCCTGTCACTTGGTGCTCTTGACGAGAACAACAACAACATCAACCAACTCACTTTGCTTCAAGATCTGTGTACATGTATATGTTTAAGCAGCCAACAATGGTCTCATACTTTCTCAAGAAGGGAGTTTTCCCACCAACATCACTTCACTTGAAATTGGAAATACCATAGTGGACGTCGGTCAACTTCTTCCGCCTCCATCTCTATTAGAGTGGGGTTTGCACAAACTCTCTTCTCTTACCACACCCATACTTGAAGGCCCAGCTTGGCCATGGGGAGAAGAAGGGATGTTCTTGCCCACCTCTCTCATCAAATTGATCATCTTGAACTTCCCAAATCTGGAAAGACTCTCTTATGAGGAGTTTCAAAACCTCACCTCTCTCCAAACACTTGATATCTGGGGATGTAATCCAATATTGAAACAGAAGTGTGAAAAGGGGAAAGGCCAATATTGGCCCATCATCCAATACATTCCTTATGTATATGTATATGTATAAGCAGCCAACTGCAGGTACAAATAAATATCTGTCATACCATTTTTTTTTTGTTTGTTTCTCCATACCAGCATCATCTCATATCTTTATTACAACATAGGGTTTTCTCTTTCTTTTTTTCATTTTTTTTCTTCTTTTTGGAACTTTAACACAACTGAGGGTTCCAATTTGTTGTGAATGACAAAATTTTAAGTACAGTGATTGAACACATGAGGAAGCCCTAAAATATTCCAATAGGAATCAGAGAAGAAAAAACAGGGCAAACTAAGCTTCAGTAATGGAAAGATGCAAGGAATAGCACAGAAGAAGAATATTTTAGAGAAAAGAAAATAGCATAGCATAGGAGAGAGAATTAAGGGGGGGGAACCTTCATTACAATCATATATCCCTCTGATACAACCCTAACAAAAAAGCTTTATACCCTCTTTGGATAAAAAGTTAACTAATCTTTTAACTACTTTGCTAACTAACTCTATAACTTCAGCTCAAACTAGACTCATTCAGCAGATTGGACTGTGTATATATTTTATATATTAAAAAGTGAATATATAACTCTATTCCAAAACTATATTTTTCTACTTGTAATATATTTGTTAAAATATGAATTTTTGTTAGAGATTGATGTCAACTACATATTGTCTTTGTTAAGTATAAATAAATATTATGTAAATAGAAAGTACTATAATTTTATTTCTTCAAGATTTGTATGTTTGAGAGGTTCTATCTCAATTGGGAGCGAGTTTCTTATAGGTTTCCTACTCAGGAGCATGGAATTGCGTTTCTTAGTAAAAAACGTCACCGAATTAGGAATCTCCTGCTACTAAGGTCTGGTCAACTCAAATTGATCAGCTTGTGTCTTCAACTATATCTTCACATCGGCTCTCAAAATTCTAATTTACAGCTATTTTTTGTCTGTATCAACACACAACAATGTTTTCACGTTCATTCCTTTTCTTTTCCTTCCATATATTTCCTTTTCCTTTTCTATCTATATACCTCTACTTAATGGATGAATTTCATTTTGTTTTTTATTTTATCTTTACCCTGACTCTTCTACAAACATGCGGTTGTGGCTTTGAATACTACATTCTTTTTGTTGTTTAGCTTGTAAAAGTGTATTTTTCTATATTTTCTCAGTGTTGTGTGTCAAAATTTAGAAAAAGATTTATGGACAGTTTAAATAGTGAAACCCACTAACTATTGTTATTACCTCTTTGTTATCCAGGGCTTTGTTGTTGTGGAAACAAACTTTAGGATGTATTCATACTCATTGTCTAAACTGCATTGCGAGATTTTCTGCCTCTTTTCAAGGTATGTTAGAAATATGCTTGACAAAGACTTTGGCCGCTCTGATTTAACTTAAAGGTTCTTGGCTTTGGAGAGAACTACAATTTTGAATGCAATGGGTTGCTATGTTTTGAGTTTTACAATTGTCATGTGGTTTTAATTTTTTTAAAAATTGTTTTTAATGTATTGATTTACTTTTGTCTAGTCATGGTGAAAGCTCTCGTATGTAATGAAGGAGTAAGAGATAAATCAAGAAAATTGAGAATGAATTCCTTTCTAGAGATTTCAATTGAAAAAATCTCCCAACTGCACACTATCAGGCAAGACTTCCATTGCTAGAAGGGAAATTTTATCTAATTTCATGTTGCATTTTTATACCATTCTCCATGCATAATGAGAGACTTTTCTTTAGATATATTTATTCTACTAGATCATAGGACATTTAAAAAATAGTCAATTACACTTTACTAGCTTGGTGCCACGTTAGGAAGTCATTGCTCATAGTTTGTATTTCCTTAAATGCTATTCATCAATGAAGGGATGAGTTTGTCATCAATGTAGGGTAGAATATCAGCTTCCAAATCGCCTTGTTTCTGAAATTACAAAAGAAAACTTGTATAATGCTTTAAAAAATGGCATTATGGTAGAACATGCAAGTATCAAGTCCTAGTTGTCTGTACCTTAATCTTATCTTTTGAGACCAAAATTTATCTTAGCTATTCTATCAAGTATCAACTTTATCTTATCTTTTGTGTTCATGTATATTTCTTCAAACATCTTATCAACTTATGGATTTGTTTCCTTATTTTGCAGTAAGTCTTTGCATGAGAATATGGCGGTTTGTTCTGGAAAGCCTCAAAAAAGATCACAGTGAAAGCAGAAATGCTCGTCCACATCTGAGAATTCCCCTGTCATCCAAGGCAATAGATTCTGTGTGTAATCTGCAAGAAGGGATTTGAAGAGGAGAAAGAAAGGAAAAGGAAAGAAAGGAGAGATGAAATAAATTGTACGAACTTGCTTTTTTGTCTGTTTATGTTGGTGGGATGGGCTTTTAATAAAGCTCTTTTAGCTTGAGTAGTAACCCATTGTTTGGAGGAGTATTTGGAATGCAAAGTCTCTTCTGGAGGTTGTGCTGCGTTGGCTTATTGGAAATGCAGGTCTATGAAGATTTGGAAAGATAGATGGATTCCAAGGCCTTACTCTTACAAAGCTATTTGTGTTTCCAAAGTCCTCCATGCCGATGCTAAGGCTTTCTCATGACATACTGCTTTGGCACTTCACTAAAAGTGGCCTTTTTAATGTTAAGTTGGCATATCATTTGGAGATGGATTTGTGAAGCAGAGAAACACCAGTCAGTTCAGATGATGGGAGTTTTGAAAGGGCGTTTTCAAGGAAGATTTGGCAGCTGAAAATTCTAAATAAAGTGAAAATATTCTCATGGAAAACATGTTCGAATATCTTTCCTGTTCAATCAAAGTTGGGGAGGTGCAAAGTAATTCAATTTGATGGCTTCACTATTTCCCTTTTGCTGCACAAGTTTGGTCTTTAAGCTCTCTTTACTCTGTTCTCCATATAGGCCCAGCTCAAAATTTTCTTTTCTTGATTCAGGAGTTTAGCCAACAAATGGATGTGTTGCGATTGGGATTATTGTTTTTCATTTGCTGAAGTATTTTGAACAATTGCAATGATTGCGTTTTAACTAGAAGAGTCAATCAGCAGAGGATGTTGCTAGGCACGTCGCTGATTACTTACAACACAGCTCAAGATCACTACTCCTGTTCAGCAAAAAGATGTTTCCAGTTGCCAGGTGGAGGGCTTCGATGGAAGGTCTGTTTAAAATCACTTTTGGTAGTGCTCTTTTCTAGTTTCAGCTTGTAAAAGTGTATTTTTCTGTATTTTCTCAGTGTATTGTGAAAAAAATAATAGAAAGGATATGTGGACAGTTTAAATAGCAAATCTACTAACTATTGTTGTTATTGCCTTTTTGTTCTCCAAGGTTTGTTGTTGTGGAAACAAACTTTAGGATGTATTCATAATCATTGTCTAAACCACATTGCAAGATTTTGTGCTCTTCTCAAGGTATGCCACAAATTTGCTTGAAAAGTACTATGGATGCTCTGATTTAAAATAAGGCTTCTTGTCTCTGGAGAGAACTACAAACTTTATATGGACATGTCATGAGGTTTTTTTTATTGAATATATTGATTTACTTGTATGCAGGCATGGTGAAAAATCTCATATATGATAAAGGAATAAGAGATATATCAAGCAAATGTTTGGAATGAGAGACTTTCCCTTTAGATATATTTATTCTACTAGATTGTTATATATATATATGTATATATAAATTGAAGTCATTGCCATTTACCATTACTAGCTTGGTGCCAAATTAGGAAGTCATTGCTCATTGTTGGTATTCGTCTAAATTCTATTCTTATATTTGCCATTCATTGATGGAAGAATCAATTTTTGTGCTAAAAATGCAGGGTAGATTATCAGCTTCCAAATCTTTTTGTAACTGCAATTACAAAGAAACCTTGTATTATGCTTTCAAAGAAAACATGCAAATATCGATACCTAGTTGTTTGTAACATCATGTTATCTTTTGGTACATTTTAAGAAATTATTTCATCTTTTAACAGAAGCTAAGACTTTACAGTAATAGCTAATGAAATCATAAACTCCGGTCCTTTACTTGTGTTTTTCTTTAAAAGAGCTTGAACTTGGTTGCTAATTTTATTTTATTTGTTATTAACCAAATTCTCTTGCCTTTTCTGAATGTTTTGTCACAGGAAGCAACTATGCCATTGCGAGTGCATGGGACTCTCTTACATGCGGCCTTGGTTGCTTTGAAAAGGCAGCAGGTATGTTTTATTTGAAAGGTATTGAAACAGGGAAAGGGTATGTTTTATTTGTTTTGTTTTCTTCTTTTGATAAATAGTTTTCTTTTGTTTCCTTTTATTATTTGGGTGGTTTTTGTTTTTTTGTTTTCTTGGTATGTATATTTGCGTGTGTGTGGATGGGTGTGAGGTGGGAGTTGTTGATAAAAAGTAGAGTTTTTCAAGTTACAATTAATGGTGAAATCTTGCTTCTGCTTTTTTTTTGTTGATCAACGTGAAATCTTGCTTTCTTTCAAAGCCCTTAATGGGATGCTCTAAGCTGCCGGAATGTGGATGAGTTGGTTGGTTATGTGGGACTAACTTTATGACTTATATGTAATATGTGGATATTGCTGCTCATATACCAGTCCATGTGTGTTCCACCAAATATATTTTTACATTTTCTATGTTCTCTTAGGTGTAGAACTGAAGTATACAATCCCACCCCTATTTTTGTTCTTATATAAAGCTAGCCATAATTTTTTTGTTACCTACAGAGGCCAATAATAAAAAAACAAATTTGTTTGTTTGTTTGTTCTATTAGAATATAACTTGCTTCTTTGAAATTTGAACTATTGTATTTGCAAATAATTTATTTTTTTCAATAGAAAGCACATCCTTGTGTTGCAGAAAGAATGCCCTTTGTACCAGAAAATGTTTCTAATCATTTGCAAACCAAAATATTGCTGATTCTATTTAGGTTCAATATTTAGTACATGTCAGCTCCCAATGAAAAGTGAATTAGTTATGTTTTTGTGACTCATCAAGTTCTTGAAGACATATCCTATTTTTCAAATGATTAAAATTTACAAAGTGATTTATATCTTAATCTGTTTGACAATGATCTGAAATTCAATTTTCTTTGACATATTAGGTTGTGGATAAGGTTGGGATGACACCATCTCATGTTTATGATGCATAGGAAGTTTTTTGCAGATGCTTGCGATTTTGCATGAGAAAAGATGGTAGTGAAGGCAGAGACACTCATGAAGGGATTTGAATACTTGAAAAAACGTACCTTTTTCCATTAGAGGACACAAAATACCAGAAATGAATGAGGAAACAAGAAAAAAAAGAAGAGAAGAAAAGGAGGAAGTAGAGATGTGAGAAAATGTACAAAGTAGTTTTTTGGCTGTTCAAAATGCTGCCTTTTACTTTTGTTTTTTTTTATGTACTTTTATTCACATACTTGTGAACTTCACCACTGGTCTTCTACTTCAAATTGTGAAGTACCATTGGCACCCATGATCTCAGGATAGCATAAATTACTGTGAACCTTGGTTTGTCATGCTTCTCTACTTGTTTTGAGGTGATCAAATACATAAAAGAGTGTTCCATTTCAATTCTTTTTCCAATAAAATATGGGTGCATCCGTCTAATTGTTGTCCACTTGAATCTTCCTGAATTTTACCCTACCCATATTTTCTATCATTTTGTGTGTTGTTGGAGTATTGAAGTATTTGTGTCATTTTGGACCAAATTGATACAAATTTAAAAATTAAAGCGCAAAATTGGCATAAGAGGCACTGCTAATGTAAAACACCCCCCCCCCAAAAAAAAAAAAAAAAAAAAAAAAAAAAAGAACTAGTGACATATATAGCATTCTTTTCCATTCAACAACTGCATAGTAGGTTTTTTAATATTTTTTTCACCTCTTATTTTGAACAAGTAAATTGTAAGTTAGAAAAAACTTTACAAGTTCGCACAATGCTATAAATGGGTTAGCACATATTCTGGTTATGTGCAAAGAACAACACATTTTTCAGCCTCACAAGTAAATTGTAAATCAGAAAAGACTTGTATAGGTTCTCTCCTCTGTCTTTAGTTTCCTCCTCACAAGTTATATTTGATATTTCCTTTTTTTTTGCTTGTTTCTTTTCTCCAGTGGATTCATGTCGTGCTTCTTTGCCTCACTTTCCTTCAGAAGGGGTTGGTATGTTAAGATTAATTGTTTGGGCAGTTGAAAGGCAGTAAGGATATTCATTTTGATTTAGCTCCATGGATGTATGACATCTACTTCCTAGCTAAGTTATTTTAGCTTTGCAGCTTTACTATGGCAAACAAGAGCTTCTTCTCTCAAGCTAAGCTCCATCTGGTTTTGCACCTTCATCAAGAATTCAATCAGCTAGCTCCTCTATTTCTGAGATGTTCAGTCTTTTTGCTATTCTACTAGTTGTAGCCTTCGTAGCTCTTGCGTTTTTCAAGTTTTTGTTCTAAGCTCTATTTTCCTATTTTGTTTGTAATGTTTAATCTAGTATGGTCAGATTAAACTCTTGTATTTTGTCTCTTGTATTAATGAAGTTCTTGAAATGGAATGGACTAATTGTGACATTCTTATGGTTCATTAACCATGTTAGTTATCACAACAATATTGTCAAAAAGGGTTCTCACAAGGAAATTAGAAAATTTGGAAAATTTTATTTATAACACCATTCATGCATCTCATACCTACATGGAATACTGTAATTCTTTTTACCACATGAAATTCTGATTTATTCCAATAATTTGGCATCCCATTGATATGGAGATGAGAGATCAACAATTGAAAGCACAAAAACATTGCCTCGGAACCAGGGGTGCAGTGAAATCATCGCACTGCCCTTCTCCATTGAACTGGTTTTTGCAGTCATCCCTGCAACGGTCTTCACCCTTGCAGTTCCAAGTTTTGTGACATTCTCTTGCTTTCACCATGATCACCATCTTTTCATCTGTATAGATTTACAAATGTGAGAGATTAACGGAAAGTCACATATAAAAGTGAGAACACAAATAAAGTGTGTTGAGTGAATTGTCTAGTAGTGGTGTAGGTCTGTGTATTCAACATAGACTCTAAGATACTAGTGTGGTGTGAATGTTGGTAAAGTGGGTGTTTGCTTGTGTATGACATGAGTGCTTAGTAGTGTGAGAACACAAATTGTGTATCAGGATTTATGTGTGCTATTGTGTACAAGTCTCTTGTGTATTGGTGGATTTGTTAATTAAAAAAAGTTATTTGTTGATTCAAATTCAACAACAAACCACCAGTAAAGAATAAGTTAAACTCGCTCTAAAAAATGAATTAAAGATGAACAAGGTTTTTAAATTGAAATAAGAAGGCTTACTAGCAAGGGTTTGAATTTATTACAGTTGCAGCTAGCTTCTAATTAAAATGCATGCATGTGTGTGGAAACCATCATGTTCATTATTATTGCCTACTTAATTAGCAAATGAGGATTTCTTTCTCTCTCTCTGTTATTTTTTATTTTTATTTTTTCAATAGGTAGGAGACTAACAAATATGAGGAATATTATATCACCCTAGACAATTAAAGTCCAACAATGCCCAAAATTCACCCTAAGCAATAGCCCAACAACCACTCGAAGAAAGATTCAATAACAACAATTCCCTATTAATGGAGGAGAAATAGACACTCTCAAATGATATCAAACTCCTCTCCTTAAGAGTTGAACCCACAATTTCATACCACAAAGTGGTACTATACAACTGTTGGGACAAAATGCATGTGCAACTGAAAGATTAAAAATTGAACAACAGAAGTGGTGCCAATATGAAAATGAAATTGTTGAATAGAATTTCTTTTACCCAAATTATCCAAAGAAAAATCAATTTTGACTTTCTAAACAATTTTTTTTGTCATCAGATTAATAGAAAGGTAACTGTGGAAATATATTAGCACAACTGTTTTAATTTTTAGAAAAAATTTAAATTGCATCTCATTCTAATGATTACCCCTAAAAATTTAAATTGCATCTCATTCTAATGATTACCCCAACCAGCCGTTTAAAAAAGGAATTTTTATTGATAAGTCCAATTTAGAAGTGTTTTAACCCAAGAAGTTCATGCAGGAATTTTTTAACCCATTTAGTCTCATGTATGTATAGTTTTATTCCATAAAGTCCATTTTCTTGATTTACACTATTTT